GACTAATCCCCCCTCCTTTTTTTTTTTATTTAAAGAATTTTAAAAGACACAGAAGAGCTAACATGTCTCTATCTAGTCTCTGGCATCTACCAAGAACACCAAACAAAAGAGGCAGACTACCTGGCAAATACCCTTTGTACTTCCCGATGAAAGTGAGATAGTCAATATCTCTAAGTTAGAGATAGCAAATGTTTTTAAACTGAAGGGGGAACAAGTTTTCTCCACTACTAGGTACAACAGAAACTTTAGTATTTGAAAAATCTAAGAGAGTGATTTACTGATAGAAAAAGTGTGTGAAATGAGCCAGCTATTCTCAGGGATTAGGCAGGAAGAATGCAGAGGTCTGTTTTATTGTTTTCAGCAGAACTAACCCATCTCAGTTTACATACCCAGTCACTATGGAGACCTCAGGACCCTATGGACACAACGTCAGTGAAAAAAACTTCTTTTTAAAACTAATGTAGTTGTCTTTGGAATCTCAAAGAGGATCATACATCCCATTTTCATGTTACTGTATGGTTAGTAACCTTACCTGTTGATCTTGTAACGAACATCTCTTTCAGTCTTAGATTCGTAAAAAGTACCTGTGGCTTTAATTATCAACCTAATCTGAAATCTAAACTAAGAGATGCAAGTGAAAGAAAAAATGTTTGCATGCAATTATGAGAGAATACACTTTTTTTCTTTCCAACTTATTTTTTAAGATTATGCTTTCTCTCTCTTTTCTATGGCCTTGACTACTATAAAAATAGACTAGTTTAGCAATCTGTGCAGCCTGAAGCAGGGTAAAGCTGGATTAGCTCATCTTTTTCAAATGCTTACAGAGCCCTGTCATCATGATGGCAGCTGTGCCGATTGCTAGCTACCAATATCTGTATGTTCTCTAGCATAGGAAAGGCCTGAGAAAGAACATGGAGCTGTGTTAATCCTGTCACAACAGAGATATGGGTTCCAAACTATAAATCTAAATTTGGCTTCTAGTAAGCGTGGCCAGAGCTGCCCAAGCTGGCTGTCTGCACTCTGCCTTGGTGATATTTTGGTGTGTAGTATGCTATTGAGAGCTGCCAACTTGTAACAGCATGCCAGGTCTTCATTTAGTCACTTTGTGGCACTGATTAATAGAAGAGGAAAGGAAAAAAGTAGAAATCTCAGCAGTTATGGTGAAGTAAAGCATGCAGAAGTAGTTTTATTTCCTGTACACTTGGCAAAGTAAATTGGTTCTGCATTTTTTCAATAATTAACATAACACTGTTGGGATTTGTGGTTTCTAATTTAGATTATACTTGTCAATAAATGCAATTCACTGACAAATAACATTTCCAGTGTTGAAGGTACAAAGGTAGCTAACCTGTTGGTCCAAAATATGAAGGCATAAATACAAACATTTTGCAAAACATGATAGAGCAAGCTTTTCAGCTAGAGTCTGGAAAATGACTCCCTCAAAATCAGTTGTTACGTACATACTAACAACACCTAAGAAACACAAGGAAGACTAACCGTTGAAAGGAGTGTTTTTTTCTGTCTTTTGACATCTTCGGAGTAAGAGAAAATACCCCTTGAAAAGTATGCTTTAAGTAAGCGCAAGTTACTGAGCTCAATTTGGAGAAGCAAGGTAATATTTAATGGCCTGTGCTGGCCAGACTAGATGGTGCTACAGGACTTCTGGCTTTAAATTATAAAACTGGAGCTATATTCAGCTTCTTAAATACTCCAAAGACTCCCCTCTTTGTCAAGAGAAACAGCCTTTTTTTGAAAAGTCAGGTCAAATACACTGCCCTGGATTAGAAAAGGAAGCGTGGAAAGTCCACCCCCACAAAAGGTCTGAGCAGGGAGTTGTCTTCATTAACTATTTCACTTTCCAAGTCCGAGGCTGTGGAGATGCCCAGGGCTGGTAGAGCTACCTGTGTCAACAAGGCTGGCAGCCAGCGGGGGCTGCTGCCACACATGAAGACCGACCCTTCTGGTGGGTGGCACGCCGGGCTAGCTGGTCTTGCGACCACGGTCTATCCAGGCCAGGAAGAATATCGCTTAATGTTAATAAAAAGGTAAATCGATTATCGTCGGTGAAAGAGGAGTAAGCCAGCTGCCCTCCCCTCTGCCCAAGATGACACAGCACGGGCAGTCTTCACTGGAGCGCGGCAGGAGGGATAACACGGCATCGTCTCCGACCTCACCTGGCTGCTTGTGGCCTCCAAGGCCAGTCTAAGAAGGCAGGCGTGCGCAGAGGCACACGAGCAGCCGAGGCGTGCGTCCCGCTCCAAGGCGCAGCGGGCAGGGGAAGGCTTTGACTCTCCGGGCCCAGCCGCGGGCCACTCGCCCCACGGCCGAGAGCAGCACCTTCCCTGCTCCTTCCACACCCCGCTGCCAGAGCGCAGCCCGGGTGCCCACAGCCCCTTCTTTCCCGTGTGCTGACTGCCCTCTCCAGTCAACCCGGCGCAGCAGCACACCCATCCTTTCCGCAAGTCGGTCGCTTTTTGCTTACGTTCTGACACAACTGCCTCGTCGTGCCCGCGGAAGGTCCTGGCGTGGGGGCAGAGCGCCTTGGGGGGGCAGTCCCAGGCACTTCCACCACAAAGCTCGGGCCATCTCAGGGTCTCAGGACAACCTTTGGACACGGATTTACAGGCAGGCAGAAGCGATTTGCGTAGAATGTTCTGAAGAGCAAGGAATTAAGTAACGGGCTACAAAAAAATGTGTTGAATTTTAGAAATTTCTGCCAGATGCCACGTCGTTGCAGGTGGAGCCACACACACACACACTTTTCTCCTGCATCAGCAAAAGCAACGCAGGCAGCTGTATCCTGCAGATGGTATTCCATGTAGCCAACCTCACAGGTTTTTTATAGATGGCCTCCCAGCAACTGTAGCAATTTCTTGCCAAACTGTCCGGTAATCTCCACAGAACACCCCAGCAAAAAAAAGCACAGTGCTTTGGGCAAGAATAGCTGGGAATGAAATACAGAGAGAGGGAAACAGAACGGTCTCAGGACAGAACAAAACTAACCCAAAGTCAATCCCCTTTTCTGCGGCACAGTGCTCATGCTGGGAAAATGTCAGGGCTTGCTGCATTAGTGAGTTGTTGAAGAAAACAGCTTTAGAGGCACATCATTAACACATAGTTAACAAAGCAGCTGTATTTAGCCTTCAGGCAAGGAGAGAGAACAGCACAGTCAACATTTCTCACTCTATTTATCCTCTACCCTGTCAAAGTCACTGTCAAGCAAACAGGTAGCAAAGCGCTAAGGAAAGCATGAGACACCTCCCCCCCCCATTTTTATCTGTGGGCGCCGCCCCCAAGGCCCTAGTGACTTCTACCGAGTCCAAAGTCCCCAAACGGCACAGAGTAGAAAATGCTGGATTTAATATGCTTTAAATCGGTAGTTTTTGAAAGGGAAGGTATTATGTATTATTCTAGGAGTGCCTCATAGATATACATATGTAATATAGGATTGCGTATATGCGTATTTTTTTTTTACTAGGAGTAGTTACAATCATTTATTTACTATAAAGCGTGGACCTCAACGTGCTTTATAACCAGTTAAATCTCACCAGCGCAGGAGAAATTAACTTAGACCCTTCTAGCACCTCTTTCAGTTTTGCCTTGAGGGTCATCCAAGGGCATGGCGCGTGCAGGCTGGGGCTTCCCCAGCTCAGCCCAGACCTTCCGGACCTCCAGGAAGCCTTCCCGGGGCTCCTCAGCCCTTTGGATTCCCTGTCCTCCCGAAGACCGAACCGCTCAGCGGCAGAAATGCCATCGCCTGTTTATTCCAGCCCAGCAGCGAGAACTACTGCTCATTTGCAATCCCCGGGTGGGCTGTGTCAGCGGTAGGGCGCACGCCTGCACCGGAGGCAGCGCTCCGCACCTCCCCTCGGAGTGCGCCTTTCAACCTCGCTTCCCCTCCCTTTGTCACCGCTCACCATTCGCGCCGCAAGAGAGCACTCTTGGCCTAACTGCGGCACCGCTCGCCTCCCGGCGGGGAAGGGGGGCGGCCTGGGGCGCTGCGCGCGGTTCAGGCGAGCGCCGAGGAACGAGCTCCGCGGCTGCCGGGGCGGGGGCGCCGCCCCGGAGCTGGAGCTGCGGAGCCGTTCACGGGCCGGAATGGGACCGCCGCGGGTTTGTTGGTACCGCAGCGCCGGCGGGGCTCGCAGGTAGCTCGGAAGCCGCAGGGGTTGCGGAATGGGCTTCCTTAATAGTCCCGGCGTCCACGGAAAAGCCACTTTCTGAAATAAACCGGGAGGAAAAGGGAACTAGAAAAGGCTGCTTTGGCTAGGTCAGCCTGCGAGGTAGCCGAAACAAATCCCTGAAGGAGGTTGAGAGAAAAAAATAAAGTACTTTAATTGGATTGCGAAGCGAAGCAAGGCTGCCGCACTGAAGGCGTACAGCGTCCCGGGTGTGATGACAGCAACCCAGGTGCTGTAGCTTGCGCGGGTTTGCGTTCCAGGTAGCTTGCGAAAGTGCCTTCGACACTGAGACCGCATTGTGCGTCCATAAAACTCGCGCTAGGACAGCTGTCAGTTATATCGATATAAGTAAGGCGCGTTTACGAGCGACGGCTTTAGTTACAGACTATATTAACTGGTAGTGCTGTTGGAAAACAGACTAGTTCAGTCACCATGTTGTCTTAATTTCTAAAAATGGACTTCAGCTAAAATAGGCCAGATTACTGGAGTGGGGAGATTAATGACAGGTTTGATATATCGGACAAGTTTATGAAGGTCGTCCATTGACTTCCACATGTTGTAGTCTTTCTTCTGTTTGCGCATAAGAACCACCGCTGAAAGAATGACGGTCAAGGCAGGCCAAACAGCTCACAAAACAGCTTTTGGACTGTTTCAAGAAACAAAATGAGCTTTAAGCAGATCCCCTGTTTAAATCCATCATCTTGCCACATCCCTGGCATAGGCAAATTTATATATAGTTAGAAACTGCAGCATTGATACCAGAGGAAAGATAAGCCAGTGTGAGCTTTGGCCCAGCTTAGTATTTACCTTACATCCCCAATGGACTCTGAAGTGTGCAGCTCGCTGACTCCCTGCTTCTCCTCTACAGTTTGTTAAAATAAAGGTAGACAGCGATAAGCACTGCAGACAACTCAGTGACAGGACAGATGCCTGAACACTGCGTGCATCTTTGGTCCTGGGCTTCGTGCTCAATTATCTTCTGTGCCCTGTTCAAAATAGAACAAAATCTGACATTCCCTTTTTTAAGGGACAGAAGAAGACAGACTGATACCCTAGTTATAGATAAGTAGTTATTCTTCCTTCTCAGTCTAGTCATTGCTTGAATCCTTCAGGTCAGTTACATCAGATTAACTTCTTCAGGACAGAGACAATATATTTTTTGCTGCTACCATGTGTAATAGGTAATGAGCTTACAACTTAAATGCCACTTAACATGCAGATGCACTCTTGGTACACAGATAGCAACCTTAAACTTATCACTTTGGTATCTCATATGTCAAGGAAGAGAAATTTCATACGTTTGAATCTTCTTAAGTAAGTGTGCTTTAGAAGGCTAGTGGTCTTGTTGAAGAATATGGGTCTTAGACAATGTTAATGGAATAAAAGAGTTGAAATACTACGAATAGATGAGCCCTAAACCATGTTTGACAGACGGGGGGAGGGGGGCAGGGGGAGCAAAAAGAAAGCTAATTTGAAGGTTAAATTGATAGTAATTCTACCTTGAAGTAAGCTAACTAATTTTTTTTTTTTTTAAGTGGGTAACACTTTGGCCTTCAACTATACCTTATAGTTATTTGGGAATATTTGGTACCTTCCTTAATTATTTAGTGGAAAACCACCACAAATGGGTATGCTACGGGTAAGTTATATTTGACTGTATAATTATTTGGCATCTCTCCTGTTGCCTCTCTCTCACTCTTCTGCTTAGTCCCTGTTAACAAGCTTTCCTGTAACCCAGTTGTTAATTACATTTAAAGAGCTCTTCTTTAAAGCTCATTACAACTAAGGGTGTGGGGTAATAAGTATGTAGAAGACTAGACAGGGTAAGACCGGTATGAAAGTTTAAAAATTCAACTTAGAATTTGGCATCTGTGTTGTTATAGTAAGAAAGGAAAAAAATTAAGATACTACTTTTGGAGACAGTTATTAGTCCATATGTAAACTTACATTTGTAACACCTCATAAAAGTGGTTCTTCTGTCAAACTGTTACTCAAGTAGTCTAATTCTCTCTTTAGGTTTGTTTGGTGGTTTTTTTTCCGCTCAGCTTCAAGTAAAGAACATTTTCTACCTTGCTACTAACTTATCCTGATCCTGTCCACATGAGAAATAACCTACTGAAGAAACTGCATAGTGCTGAGTTTTGCTGGGTTACAAAACTTAGTTTTTGTTATTTTAATTAACAAAAGAGCTGGAAAACACTTCCCTGTAACCAGATCTGTCACTTGCTGACTTCCTGCAAAGACAGGAAGACAGCAAGATTTTCTTGTGTATTTTACCATGCATCACATAGAAGATAAGACTTCATCTTTGCTCAGAGCATCTTTTGCTTTAGCAAGGTATTGAACTGATCCTAACAGAATATCCTGTGTAACTTTTTCTTTTTAAAAAAAGCTTCTATATGAAAAATTTTAGACCAAGTTTGACTAATCAAGTCATATTATATGTTCTGAATCTGTACACACAGTTGTTTTCATAGAACTAAACATATAAAAACTTAAGTAACTCATTAAGACCACTAAAAATACTTGTGTAAGTAAAAATACAGATTTTGCACACTTAACTAAGATTAACTTTACTGCTTTCGCTAAGCATTTGGCTTTTTTACTTAATCTAAGTGCTGAAAGTTTTGGAAACATGCAGTGGATATTCGAAATGGCAGGTCCAGGCATATTGCTTGAGTTACAGTTCCTCTAATTTTCTCAGTGGACTTCAGTTTCTTTTAAGACTATGCATGTGTTTGGTTCCACCCCACCCCCCCGCCAAGGTAAGAAACATGCCTCACCTTCTAGGTTAAAGTGAGATGTCACTTCTGTGCTTCCAGTTTTACATTTGCTGTATAACGCATCTTGGATACAACAGTCTTCTCCCTAATTTTCAACAAAATAAAACATGTTTTCTTTTTATTAGGTTCTGGGTATCCTGGTTGATTCACGTAGTAGAAGCCTTCTATGGTGTTAAGTTATGCCAGTAAGTCATTCCCTTCCCTCACCCCAACATAGTTTCTCTGAAAAGGATTTCTGATAAAAGTGATATAAGCTACAGACTTATTTTGGTGGTTCTCAGCAGCAATACTAGTTCAGAGGATACTGATAAAATTCTTGCTGCAGTGATACTTGCTATACTCCACAAGAGATTGCTGCAAATTCTGCTAGTGGTTACTGTTGTACAGGGTGGCAAAAGCAAGGAATGGCAACTTGCAGAACTGGCAGCAGCAAGGTTTGCCAGAGCTTGTCTGTCTGCCTCTGAACTCGCTGTTCACTGGGTGACATTGCGCTTTAGGAAGCAGAGGGAGCAATAGATAGTGTAGGAATAGTCCGATAACTTCAAGTGTTACAACTTCATCAGATCTTACCTCTTCAGAATTTTAAGACTGCTAATTACCTGCTTAAATGATTGCATCTATATTGTGAGAATACAATTGGACACTTCAATTTGGTATTATTTAAGATCTACTTGTATCTGCAGGTTTGTGGGATAAAACACTTTAATCAGACTATCAAAGTGAGGCCAACTAAGTCTTATGTTAGGATAACACATTATTTGGAAAGGTATGCTACCCAAACACATCATCCTTCTGTTCATTTGAATTTTGTTTGTAATAATTCAGAAGAATGTGGATATTGGTTTTCATGCTCTACAGAGTAGATGGCCAGTCTGTTTGCCATTGTAAAAATGGTGGTATTCCACTTCATTTAGTTCAGTTCACAGTTGTCTGTCACAGGCTTCTCAGGTAACATCTCTTGCAGGCAAAGGCATTTTGTTCCATGGAAAGCTATTTAAGGTGGTTCTCGAGATAATAGAATATGGATGAACATTTTCTGCCTTTGGAATGGGAGCTAGTAATAAATCCTTTTTGCCAGGCTCCAGTTTTAAATTATGTAACTTTAAAGTTAAAACTTTAACTCTGATTCTGCACATAGATAGGTATATAGGCTTAAGGTGATTTTTAAGTATGAGGGAACTTGATTACCAGTGAATGTACCAAATGGGTGTATTGTAGTCGAGCTAAGTAATGAAGTTTTACGAGTAGTCTTAAAGGCCATAAGAAAGAGAGAGCCCATCATCATCTCTTCAGGCATACTTCTCTAGATTACTAAACAGTCGTACTTTACTATGGGCACCAAACACCATATACTTTTTACTGATGTAAAAGTGATGTCTACTTATGAACGTCACAAAGGAGGCATGAGGACAAACTAGCGAGGAAGCAGATACAAATTTGTTAATCAGTAGTAGTACTGTCATTGGCTGTTGGCCTGCATTTCTGCATATGGTCTATTCAAGTAAGCTTGCTTTATATAAGCAGATAAATTTCTTAAGCCCTAGTTTTCCAGTTTCTGCGCTTATTTGGAAACACTGCAGCTGGGATTGTAAGAAAAGTTTTTCACAGCTGGTAAGATAATTTAAGAATGAACATTAAGAAATGTTGTGTTAATGCTTACTGCACAATCATTTTGTATGTGTAGAGGCTATGAACAATAAACAGCTGAACTGTTCTAGCAAAGGTCAGTAGAGGGAGCTCCCTTGTAAACGAATGAGTTGGAGCACAGTTATGCCTGACATAATTGTTTACTGGAAATGTGAAATCCATTGGTTTTGCTATCATGTTTTTACACTCGTTCTTTTCTCTGAAAATAAAGTAGTATTTCTCAACAACAATGAAGTGGAGGAAAAAGTGACATTTTCTGTAATATACAGTAAAACTCGCATATGCTAAGTTATAATTAGCTGACATAGGGAGGTCTCTGTTTCATAAATCAAGTCAGGTGTCTTCAGTCCCCTGTACCTGTATTTTTCTAGCCACAACTTCAGGTAGCAGTGCTTCTCCATCCTGCCTTGCACAGTCATTGTCAGGCCTCTTAGCCCTGCTAGCATACAGTCTACCTTCAGTGACATAACAGACTTCTGTCTTAAGATTAGTATTAAGCTACTCTTAATGTCTTGGTTCTTTGTACATAAACTTCTAAGATAAGTCATTTCAAATAGCATAGACTGAGATTACAATTTATATGTTATTGAGGAAATTGTATGCATGAAATCTCTGGAAGAGTTTTTGTTCTGTAGATAGCTTTAAATCCACTAAAATCACAAGAACTCGTATGTTTGGTTAGTACAGGAAATAAGTCTCAGTAGACTGAAATAAGTGATGCTAAGTTCAAATGTTCTATCAAGTCTGATGTATCAAGGATGGGTAGAAATATCTAACCTTACTTTAAGTATCACAGTATGGTCTTGCAGACTATAAAGGTTTTTGACACATTTTATGCTTTTGTTAATGTTACAGATCTAAAGGAATCACTGATCCATCAATTCAGTTTCAATGGTTCATTCAGACACTGTTATTTGGATATGCTTCCTTTGGTCTTCTGGTGTCTTACAAACCTTCAGCCAAGAAGCACTACTAGAAGACAGCGAAAGAAGTCACTTCTCACATTCTTCATCCTCATTTTTTGGAAAATGCCCTCACTTATATGTCTAGGTGGTGTAATTAGCTAAATTAGATTCCTGCTACATGAATCAGTACCCTTCTACCTAAGTAACTCTCCTCTTACTAAACAAGACCATTATAATTCACAGGGCCCTGTGGATAGTTCAGTAGAAATTCAGCCCTTTGGTCTTGGCACTGCCAAAGTTCAGTCCCATTATGCAGGAAGCCAAAAGTTGCTCCTCTGCAGTTTTTGATATAGACTGTATACTCTGATTATTATTGAAAAGTCCCTGACAACTGGTAGTAGTGGTTGATAAATTACTTTTCACATGAAGGAATTTTCTTCTACAACAGGGAGAGTTACTTCAGCCACAAGGCAACTTGCACCTGTTTTGTGATAGGATTTAAATTTAACTGTATTTTCTCTACATGACATTTTACTGGCTTTGTTGTTGTTAGAGCCTTGTCTTTGTACTTAGTTTTGTCAACTTATTTTATTCCACAAAGGACAGACCACTGTATTGCTGCAGGCACATTAAAAAGACCAAGTCTCAATTCAGGTTGAGGTGCAGTGATGACCTTGGATACATAAAGCACTTTAACTTGGTTTAATACATGTGCCTTAAATTTCATGCAGCATGACCTCATCTTTTGAATGAAGATCTTAATCTTTGAGTTAGTATAGCATAAAGTAGTAATCCTGGAGCTTTGAGGGCAGCTTTTTCAAAAAGTAATCTATTATCCAAGAAAAAAGAAAAAATCAATTAGCATTCCAAAACCTAGCTGAAAATTTTGTATTTTTGAATGAAATTAAATGTAGTGAGTAAACATATACCACTGTTTACCAGGTGCTGATGTCCTGAAATCTATGGTTGAGAGACCATCTTAAGCACCCCTCAGAGTACTTCCTGTATGTGTAGCGAGCCTTTTATCATACTGCCTTTTACTTTTGAATATTTGAACAAGAATTTAGCCTGTCTTGTTTTAGCACTTTTAAAATTAGTAACTATTTAAAATACTAACTATGGTGTGGGGAGAAGCTTTACCACGCCACCCGTGGTGCTATTGTTCTGAAAGAAAGGACATGAAAAGGTTGTTCTTGCTCTAACGAAGAGCTCCATGAGGCAGTAACAAATAAACTTATGTCTTGTGCAGTACCTACAGACTGTAACACTTCTGATGGAGAAGTCCTATTCAAGCACAGGTACATAAAGTTTTTGCTTTTCAGTGGGTACTAAAGCATGGAGAACTGAAGGGTTTGAAATGGTTGTTTGGTTTGGGTTTGGTTTTTTTCTTTGAAATGGCAAACTGATAACATTTTGTAGAGAAGTAGAAACTCATGGTTAGGGGCTAGAAATCCAGTAGGAATGTCAAGAGCCTGAGCTATGTTTAACTGTGTAACCTCTTATCTTAGTCTGTGACCCTGAAATACAGATTTTAAAAAAAGTGAAGATGCTGTTTTTCTTTTTAATTTATCCTGGAAATAAATGTCTATACAAGATACATAGGCATCATCTTTACACGAGTATCCGTATTTACACTTGGAACGTACAGGATCAGCTGGCTGTATGCTTTACAGAGTGAGTCCCACAGAAGCCTGGTATTTCTAACAGGGCAAGGTATTGATGTGACTTGTCTGTAAAAAAAAATAATTAAAATTCTTCATGGCACTAAAACATGTATAGGTATAAGATGAATTCTAATTGAATGATTAATAAGCATTAACTTAAGAATGTGAAGGGATAAAAGGAAAAACATTTTCATGATGGCATTCCTGTACAGAGGAAGAGGTGTAACGATAACACCAAGGCTAGTTAAAGACTCAGCAGGAAAGGTGGTAAAAGACTTTTTTTTTCTTCTTACTGGGCATTTTTGTCTGTTCCTGCTTCCCACTATTCACTTTCAATGAGTGAAGCTGTAAATAAGGTCAGAACTACTATGCTAGCTTCCCCTCCCACTGCCAGTCTGCAGAGTGAGCTCTTGTGATGCTCAACCATCACAGCTTTCACAGCCCTTCTGCCAGGGCTCTCCCATGGCTATAGATAAATCACAGCTCTGAGAAGTTAACCGCTTGCTGTTAGACTCGACTCAATTAGAAGGGCTTCCTTTTAGAGAGGCAATGGTAAAAGCTTCCTCAGTGCAGCCCAAGGAAGCTATAAAAGAAAAAAAATGTAGTCAATTTATAACTGCCTTAGTTAAAAAATATTTCCAAGTTAGAACAAGTTGTAGCCAGAAACTGGCATCAGCAGATTTTTTTGAAGCTTGTCTGGTTTTTTTTCTGTTGTTGTTAGTTTGGGGGTTTTTTTTAGCTTGACGGATCTCAGCAGCTTTCTGTTTGGAGGTTGTTGGGCTTTGCTTATCAAACTTTTTAGAAATGTAACTACATTGTATTCACCTACCTTCAAACATTTTCTCTTCTCTACCCTTGCTTGGCAGCAGTTTGGTTTTTCCATTTGTTTAAAAAAAAAAATGTATTTGCTCTCAGCCTCTGCCCCAGAGCTCTAAACATCACAGATGCCTGTTTTCTAATGTTTTTGAAGCCCAGGAGATTCCCAACTCAAAATCTGAGAAGCATAGGATAAGCAATGCTGACTAGCTTTTTGATGTAAAATAGCCTTGAGGAAAAGAAAGAAACCAGCAGAATGACAAGATTCAAAATAATACTGAGATACCATTTCTGAATATTTGTTTACAGTGTTCCTAACATCATAGCAAGATAAACATACCATAGTACTTTACAAAATTATTGGTTAAAAAAAGCCAGCAGAAGCATGAATCCAGGTCAGCAACTCACAAAGCTCATAGAGACATTAACATTCATGGCTAGTAGCAGGCTCTTCAGAAATAGCACTGGTTACACCAGGCATAAGCATTTCTCCAGGCTAATCTAATAGTAACAATAAAGGATGACTCTTTATCACATAGCACAACTCTTTCCACTGCAATCAAAATACTCTTTCCACAACAAAAGGGGAAAGCAACAGAAGTGTACACTTATGTTCTTATGGCAGCTCAAAGGCGAGGCTGAGTGTCAAACCATCTCCCACATCAACACCCAACCCACCAGGCCTGCCAAAAGAAAACACTTGCAAATGTTAGTACTTCACTGTAAAAAAAATGTTTCAAAATATTACTTCCCACCAAAAGGAAAACCAAATGAAACTTACAGGAGCACTTTTACTATAAAGAATACCACTAATTAAGGTAAATCACCAAGAAAGCTAAGCTGACATTAAGAAAGGTTTTTCAGGATGGATATTTCTGCCAGCTAGGCGGTTGACAGTACTGAAGAGAAATAAATACTGTTTAGCCATCCATTTCAAATTGAAAAAAAAAAACCTTTCTGTGAAAGCGCATGTGCAAAATTAGGTATACTTGATGCTAATAACGTAAAGTAGATGCCAAGAAAATTTTAAACAGTGCCTGTTTTTTCTAGGCATATACAAAAATAAAGCATTATTTATTTGACCTGCATTGGTGATCAAAAGAAATAATTTCATACACGTCACAAATAACCACATCGCTTACAACAGTGCTTTTATGCTGCGATTGCTTCGTAACCTTGTTGCAGGAGAAAACACAAAGAAACTACCCAGATCCAATTTCAGCTTTAAGTCATAATATATGGAATATATGGAAATTAATGTACTCCTGAAAGTAAGGCAAGTAATCCAGATCAGCATGTTTGGCAAATCACTGCTCGAATCAAGCTCTGTTGATGAGAAACTGTGTCAGGAAACGCAGCATCAGCTCAGAAACTTTGCTGAGCCTGAACAAAGGCAATGAGATGTCTCCTATCTGTTTCCAAGAACTATTTCTAAAGCCTTAAGGACTGTAGCTCCTTTTTGCAAGGGATTGATGAAAAACTTCTCTCAGTATCACAGAATGTTGTCTTGCTTTGCTTCTCTTCCATGCTGACCTAGATTTTTCTAAACACAACAGAAGACAACTGGGCCAGCCTTTGGAAATACCCAAGTGTTGGTTCATTAAGGACATTTAATTTGCCTGGGGACTAGGCAGCTGGTCTCCTGAACAGCAATAAAGCCCAGTTAAAGCTGGGGGAATGGCCTTGTTGACCATTGTAGAGTCTGCAGTAAGTTTGGCCACTATAAGCAAGGTCTTTGAAGTCCTACAGTCTGCTGCTTGTGGGCATTCTGGCACGATCTCTGAGGTAGGGGGGCAGAAATTGCAGACCTTCCAGAGAAATACAGTAGATTTTAGAGGAACATGTTACGGAAAGCAACTGATAGTTCACTGATTTTAAGGTTTCCCGGCAAATGACCTTTGCAAAGAAAAAAAGTAACTAATGCAGTAATTTTTCCATGAATGAGGGAATCTGAATTATATGTTTCTTCTGTATTTATACCTCATGTTTGAATAAAGAGAGCAGAACCTCCATTCACATTTTTTTAATTACAGTACTGTTGTGTATGAGCCCTCATTAATGAGGCTGTCAGTCTCACTTCACTATTTACAAGGCTATGCAGTTTAAAAAATCCTTTGCTTTTTTGCTTGTTAATTACAAGCTTGTACATTTTTACTCCTCTGCCTCCCAGCAGATCATCTCCACACAGAAACAGATATTTCTAGAGGTTTTTTTAATGACTCCACTCATTCGCGGACTTAATGAAAACTTTTGGTATATGGCCAGCAGCCTATACATTCCGTTCATTTTGTCAGCAACATGTTTATTCAGACTAGTGCTTGTATGGAAGGCCTGCATGACCAGCTCAAGAAATTGTCATGGTTTGTTGAAAGCAAAAGAAACAAAAAAAATACCCCTCAACATTTCCTTTGCTACTGCTTTTCAGAGGGGAGGCAGTAATAGGGCACAATGCGCACGCTGTACTAGGCCTTACAAGGCGCCTGCAACTACAAGCACAACTGGAGCACGTGCGTGACTGGGAAGGAGGAGGGGAGAGGGGGAAAGAGAGGTGTAAGGAATACTGTCGTATCGTTTGTCAGCGTTCCTCAAGACTGTTCTCTCAAAGCAAAACCTCTTAGGTGCCCCTTGAGGGAATAGACAGGGAGATCAATCTACCAAGTTTAGAAACCGCACAAGTTAAAATCTCCTCCTAAAGACACTCTAGACTTCTTATCAAAAGAAAAACCACACGCAAACACCACCCTTTCCCACAAATTTC